ACCACACTTGTCTTTGCCTTTGCCTTTGTTTTGCACATTTATGACCCTGTGCATATCCTGATTTCTACTAGGGCTCTAAGTATCTTTCCGCAAGACACCATAGGAGACGGCTAAATCTCTACCCATACAAAGGTGAGTTCTTTAGGCATGTTTTCTATCCAACATCCCGCATCCGAGATGCTTTAAACTTATTAAGGCTTAAGAGTCATCCTCTCTCATGATAGGATTCTAGGTGATTCCTTTAGGCGTGTTTCCTATCTAACGCCCTGCATCCGAAATGCTTTAGACTCATTAAGACTTAATAGCCAACCCATTTACATGATAGAATTATCGGTGAGTCCTTTAGGGATGTTACCTATCTAAGAGCCCACATCCGAAATGCTTTAGACTCATTAAGGCTTAATAGCCATCCTCTTTATAATGGTAGGATTTCACTTGTAAATCTTACTTGACTTTTGAACCAATCATCTTGTTATTAGTAACGTAAACTTTGAACTAATAACTTGATGTATATGATAAATATTTGTAAGACTCACCAAACTTTGTAAATATTACTTGACTTTTAAACCAATTATCCTATCATTAGTAGCATAAGATTTGAACTAAAAACTTGATATAAATGGTAAGTATTTGTAGGACTTACAAAACTTTGAGACCCATTCCAGCAAACGTTCTTTCGACTATGTCCTTTTTCAGACCCTAGTCAAAGGATCAGCCACATTCTCTGAAGATTGAACATCAATCACAGAGATGACTCCTTAACAAATGAGCTCTCTCAAATAACCATGCTTCAGACGAATGACCTGCTTCTTTCCATTGAACATCGAGTTCGCTGCCACAGCACTCGCCGCCTGATTATCACAATAGATAGTAATTACGTCTTGTAATTCTGTCAATAGAAGGTCTCGGAGAAAATAACTAAGCTATGCAGCTTCATCTCCTACAGCACATAGTGCGAAGAACTCAGATTCCATCGATGATTGTGCAATCATGGTATGCTTCTTAGACTTCCACGAGACGGCAGCTCCATCCATGGTGAAGACAAATCCTCCAGTAGATCTGCACTCATCTGGTTCTGAGCACCAGCTCGCATCTGAATAGGGGCCTATTTATAGGAAAACCAAGGGGTAGGGGCTGGTTGAGGACACCCCCTAGGGGGGTGTCTCGGCCATACTGTGGTCGCCAGTCTGTTTGCGGAAAAAGTTGCTGTATTCATTGCTGCATTCATTACAACTTCAATCAGCCACTCAGTTTCATCTCCTGCAACACAGAGTGCAAAGAATTCAGATTCCATCGATGACTGTGCAATCATGGTCTGCTTCTTAGACTTCTACGAGACGGCAGCTCCATCCATGGTGAAGACAAATCCTCCAGTAGATCTGCACTCATCTGGTTCTGAGCACCAGCTCGCATCTGAATAACCTTCGATTACAATAGAATATCCAGTATAGAATAGGCCCAGACCTATAGTTCCTTTCAAGTATCTCATCAATCTCTGGACAACATCCCAGTGAAGCTTTTCAAGATTCCTTGTGAACCTACTAAGCATTCCTACAACGAATGAAATGTCTGGCCTTGTGCAGCTCATCGCGTATATGAGACTCCCAATGATTTTTGAGTACCTCGGCTGCTCTACTGGTTTTTTAGTGTTCGGTCGAACCTTCTTGTTATAATCGTATGTCACGGATAGTTTTGGCAGGTCGTTATAGCTATACTTTCTTAGCATGCTCTCGGCATAATGAGATTAGGACAATCTAATACCCTCTTCAGAGTATATGATTTTGATTCCGAGAATCACGTCTGCAGTTCCAAGGTCCTTCATGATGAACTATTTTGAAAGAAATTTTTTGGTAGATATTACTATCTCCAAATCACTCCCAATGATGAGCATATCATCCACATAGAGGTAGATAATCACCACCTTTCCTTCAGCGACCTTGATGTATAGGCACCTATCAGATTCATTGACTTGATACCCATTGTTACGAACAACCCTATCGAACTTCTCATGTCAGAGTTTCGGTGCCTATTTAATTCCATATAGAGACTTAACAAGTTTATAAACTTTACCAGCTGGAGCAGCAAATCCTTCTGGTTCTCCATGTAGATCTCTTCTGTGAGATCTCCATTAAGAAATACAGTCTTCACATCCATCTGATGTATGATAAATCTTTTTATCGTCGCCCATGCGATAAGCACTCTGATGGTAGTGATCCTGCAAACTGGTGCATAGATATCGGAGAAATCTATACATTCTTTTTGAGAGAATCCTTTCGCCACCAATCTTGCTTTGTACTTCTTAATAGTACCATCAGGACGAAGCTTCTTCTTGAAGATCCACTTGTAACTGATAGGCCTTGCACTTTAGGTACATCCACCAGCTTTCAAGTGTAATTTTGGATCAATGAATCCATCTCATCATCTATAGCTTCTTTCTACATAAGAAAGTCTGTTGACTGCATTGCTTCTTGGAACGTCTGTTGACTGCATTGCTTCTTAAAAAGTCTGTGGATCTCCTTTCACATTATAGGTGATGAAGTCATCTCCAAAATCTTTCTGTCTTCTGATACGCTTGGAAAATGGTTCAATAACTCCTTCATCATTGACACGTTCAGTTTTTTGCAAAACTGGCTCCTCTTGTACATCTGACGCACTAGCATTCTCTATTATATCTTTGAGCAATAAGCTTTTATCTTTGATAAACTTATCCTCAAAGAATTCTGCATCCCGAGCTTCAATGATGGAGTTGGTTCCAATGACCAGGAACCTGCACGCATTGCTATCTCCAGCAAAGCCAAGAAATACACATTAATTTGTCGTTGGTCCGAGCTTTGGACTTCTGATATCTGGTATTCGGACGTATACGAGACACCCTCACACTTTGAGACTATCCAAAGAATTTGGATATCCCAACCATAACTGATGAGGAGTGTTATCAGTTTTGAAATAGGGTACTATGTTTAGAATCCAGTTTGTTATCACTAAAGCCTCTGCCCAATAGCAGGTAAGAAGACAAGATGTGTTAGCATCGAATTCACCATCTCGGTCAATGTGCGATTCTTTCTTTCTGCAATCCCATTAGATTGTGGAGAATACGGAGCAGTAGTTTCAGCAATGATTCCATACTCCTTTAAGTATGTTTCTGATTCCTTAGATCGGTACTCTCCTCCTCTGTCGCTCCTGAGTCTTTTCACATGCAGTCCAAGCTGCTTCTCCACTTGAGTCCGAAACTCGACAAACTTGTTAAATGCTTCATCTTTAGATTTTAGCAGGTAAACGTGACAGAATCGAGAATGGTCGTCAATGAAGGTGATGAAGTACTTCTTGCCGCCACGAGTGACGAAGCTCTTGAAGTCACAAGTATCTGAATGAATCAGATCCAACAAGTTGGTGCTCCTCGTGAAACTTGAAAATGGCTTCCTCGTCAGCTTGGCTTGCGCGCAAACTTCACATTTCTCATGTTTGTTACCCCCACAGAGATCTCATCAAAATGACACAGTCAATGCAAACAGAAACCAACAAGACACTAATGGAAGCCATAATCTCCACAAAGATTTCGAGTCAACATATGAATACATTATATACAATTGATGAAGAAACTTACGGGCAATTTCTAGAGGTCTACATCCTAATTATCCTTTCCATCTAAAATCCTAGCACCACCATTCAGAGGGTCATTTTCAGTCACCTTAAACAATGCCTTCACTTCCCACGAAGTGACTTTCAAGGAATTAAAAAATGGGAAAAGAGAAGAAAAGTAACCCAAAACACCCACAATGACCCAAGCATTAGTTTTTCTAAATATAAATAACAGCGGGTAAAGCCTTCATGTTCATTAATAAGGGTTTAATGAAACATCTCCAGCTACAAAAACTGTACGTCTCCATGGATGAAAACCAACTACCCGGAATCTGCAGTGAATCCAGTGTCATCCAACTACACCGAAACATCAGTACCCAACCCTGAATGCTTGTCACTGTTAGCCAACCAGAGCCTAGCTTAATGACCACAACACCTCTACTTTTCCTTGCAGCCTGATCACGATCGAGCAGCCGCACCCATACTTTTCTCATGCCCACAATTATAAGCACATTTGGCTTGCAGATAACTTAGCCTGGAACTAAAAAACTGTGACCAACTTGAGAAAATTCATGCACTGCTGCTACGTGTCAAATTTTAATTCGCTTATCACACATTAGCATTAATTACTAAAACAACAATTACGATTCGGTATTAATTTAAAATTTAAATAAAACAAGGACTTGGATGTAAAAAATCCCACATTTTCTTCCTGCTTTCTCATCTTCCCTGGAGGCCGAATTTTTTCCCCGGAGGCCGAAAAATCCCACAAATTCCTACACCCTACGACCTTCCCTCCTGTAAAAGTACAGCACCCCTTATACTTGCTCACAAAATCCCCTGCTGGTTTAGTTCTCGCAGCAAACTCATGGTCAACCGTGAATAACACCGAACCCTTTTCTTGCATCCCTAGAAAAAGCCCCAAACAACTAAATAAGCTTTGCTGGTCCAAATTATAATGGTCCGACAGGGAAAAACCTTGACCGTCTAAATGATATGCTTGGAAAACAATGGGGGAAGATGAGAAAAGCAGCGGTGACTTTTGGGGAAGAAAATGAGGGATTCGGCCTCCAGGGAAGATGATAAAGCAAGAAGGAAATGTGGGATTTTTTACATCCAAGTCCTTGTTTTATTTAAATTTTAAATTAATACCGAATCTTAATTATTATTTTAGTAATTAATGCTAATGTGCGATAAGCGAATTAAAATTTGACACATGGCAGCATCGCATGAATTTTCCTACGCTGTCAGCTCTCGGCAGGATGTGTGTGTATTGCAGGATTGCAGTTTTTTTTTAAAATCAAGCATTCAAGATATCTCCAAATCCAAGATCTGTCAATTCTTATATCAATGCAAATATATGTTATTTGGGGAGTGTGCATTAATAAAGGATTCATAGAAACCAGCTGTTCCAGTGAGCAGAGCCAACTGAATAGTTTACTAAAAGCATGCATGCATCATCTACCATCCATCAACATCATGGTAATGTTGTGGATGTTGCTTATGTGTTGGCTGTTTTCGTTTCCTGAGCAAGTTGAAGAGTCTGATTCCTAGAAGTGTGTTGGCTCTATAAAAGGACCATCCACCTCCAATTTCCCTTCCTCCAACACCTTCAGAGTACTCTCTTCAGTTCTCTCTGTTTCTTTCTACCCTCCAATTTTCTCTAATTTACAACCTCTAATTATGTATCCTTGTGAGTTCGCCGGTATCCAATACCTTGCACCATCAAACCCTCCATCATACCGAGCACACTGTGATTCATATAGTACCAGCTTCCCTTCGTTGAACTTTAACAATCTCTTTGCGCCAAATCCAATGATGATACCTTCGGCCAATGAACTTATCTTCACAAGTTCATGCAACTCAACTTCTGATGAAGCAGAGGAACAGCAGAAGCAACTTATATCTGACGAGAGAAGAAAGAGGCGCATGATATCAAACAGGGAGTCTGCTAGAAGATCAAGAATGAGAAAGCAGAAACATTTGGATCAGCTGTTGTCGCAGGTTATTGGTCTGCGTACAGCCAACCGCCAGATTCTTGATGAGCTCAATAGAGGCATGAGGGGCTGCAATGAGATCCTTCATGAGAATGCAAAGTTAAGGGAAGAAAAGAAAGAGTTGCAAAAGCTAGAGAAAATTTTAGTTTCTTCCTCTGAA